CTTACTGAACAAATATTGATATGAGAATATTGGTATCAGAAACACAAGATTGCGCAATAACAGTTTGAGATCTTTATATTATCAAATATAAGATGAGATTTTTTATATTATCGATAAAGCTACTCCTGCCATTTCAGGTATGTGTTGCATAGAAATAAAAATAATGTACAGTTAGCGATTCAGTTTTATGATATTTTACCTGAAAAGAAGTCATGGTCACATTTTGATCTCAATATCAACACCAATCCATCACACTATTATACTCTTTAAGATAAATAATGCGCGATTATTTATATTATTTATATAGTATTGGTAATGCTATTTTAATAAAAACCTATATAGTTTAGGAATGCAACTTCCAATGGATATGGATATCTTGCAACACTTTAAATATTGACAATCAAATTTAACAAAAGGAATTACAAAAAAGTTGGATATTCTATATTGTCCTCCAAAGTCAAACTTAAAGGTTGATAGGTGTCAACTAGTTGAATGTGAATGTATCATGGACAAAATAAAACATCCATGGATTAAAGTAGGGTTTCCAGTAATTAGCGATGTAAATATTTGAAAAAGTTTAAAAAATCTTGAGCAAAAGTATTCTGATTTATTAAAGAATGTCAATAAAAACTCAAAACAAGATATTAAAAATCAAATAGGATTTGAATTTTTTTAAACATATTTTTAGGATAGGAATTCCAGAACTAAAAGGTTTTATTCAAAGTCACAATCTAAGAGGAATGAATCTTATAAATCAAAGATCCAATGAATCTAATAAATTGAAGATTTGCAATTCTTCGAAGATCTAAGAAGGTCCAAGATTATAACATTTAGATTCTCTAGATACTAAATATACTAAGAAAGTATTGCGAGCGACGAACGAGTTTTTCTAATTTATTTTTGTAGTAAATGGGTTTACAGTAGAGAGAATACGGATTGGTTGTCATTTCTACCATATTTCTGGCACACTCAATCATATTACAACCAATTTTTAGCCAATTCAAAAACTTTGATTATAGTAAACAATTATGCAGAAAGAAATGTAAGCATGATGCAGAAGTTTATCCATAGATACATTAGTGAAGAAGAAAAACAAATGAGACTGGTAACCATAGACAAAATGTGTTACGCCATATAAAATCCTGAAAAAAGTTCCAGCAAGATGACAAAAAGAAATATGGAATTAGATTTAAATAACATGAATAATTTCAAGAAATTCAAAAGTGATTAGAAAACTTTTTTTTTTCATTTGTATACTTTTTTGTAAGTTAAATAGAAAACCTTGTTTTTATCATAATTGGCGTGAGTAACTTAAAAATTGATTTTGGCGTAAAAACTTGAATCAATTTTTAGTTAGTAAAAAAATGAGGAAGGACCCGTTGGTAGATAAGGGTGAGGGGAGAGGCAAGGCAAATACAATACTAATTGGATTAACAAGCAATTTACAATATTATCAGCCAAAAAATGTGTAAAATTTTTATTACATGTGGCCATCAACACAAGAGGAGGGGGGTAGGGGAGGGTTCTCACTCCGCCCCCCTTTTTTTTTTCAAGGACTTTTTTTTATATATATATAAATGAAAAATGGCTCTCATCACTTTAAAAGGCCGGTTCAATGGTCCTGTTATATTAGAAAAAATGTATTTGTATACTCCAAATGCTTTCTTAGATCACAACAAACTTAACAATTGCATGAATTTATAAATAATTTGAATAAAAAATGCTTTGTAATTAAAACCAAAACAAAAATATGTATGATTTTAAATGCAAAATATATGCAGTGTAGGCCCTTTTTTTTTAATTCAGCCAACTTGGTTTATATTACACCCTCCCTCAACGTCACTGAAATCAGCAACTTTTGATAAAAGTATTGACATTTTTTTCACAAAAATGAGTCTTGAGGGATGATCTTGAGTGGTCAGAAAATGCTTGGTATGCTTTAAAACCTACTTTCTATATATTTGCACCAAATTTAACGAGATACGTATTTTTATTTTGAAATTCTCTCATTCTGAATCACCCTAATATATATATATATATATATATATATATATATATATATATATATATATATATATATATATTATATATATATATATATATATATATATATATATATAATATATATATATGTATATATATATACAGCACCTACTCAAATTATTAGACTCAAACTCAATTTTTAATTTTTTTTCTTTTTGCTGTGTCTAAAACTCACTAAAAGCAATCACAACTTATTTTTTTATATATAATCTATATATTGATATATAAAAAGCATATTATGCAACTTAATACTTGGTGATGATTCCTTTTGACTCCTTTTGAAAGAGCTTTGATATGCCTTGGCATACTATTTAATCACTTTGAGGTCAATGCTTTAACATCTGGATCTCGATGCCATACTTCGATTAGTCGTTTTGTGAGTTTCTGTTTACTTGTTAAATGCAAAGTCACCACTTTGCATGTTACAAGCACCCACAGATTTACAATATGGTTCATA